ACTTGTAGAACAGTGTGATTGTTCATTCACATAAGCCTACGCTCACCATTCCGGGTCCTTGAGTGAAATTTTTTTAATAAAGTTCCTTTTTCGAACCTGACAGCCCATGGGGCAGTGAAGTAGAGTTCACCTGTTTATGTGATCTCGGCATATAAATTGAAAGATTTTTTAGCACTATGCTCAGCCGGCTTTAATTTCCTTAACGTAAATTGGGTACCCATTATAGCTGGGTGAACTTAGGGACGATCTAGTGATACGAACATGGATTCGAACTCGAGCAGTCTGCCGCAAGGACGCGCCGTCCCCCAATCCCGCATGGTTTCAATGTGAATTTCCAAGTTGTTTTTATTTTTTTTCACTTTTCACTCTGCATTTTGTTTGTAACACAAAATAAACCGGGAGTGATCTCCCCTAAACTTTCTCATATATTCTTATATAAAACAACAGGGGATGGGAACTCGGGATATAGTTATGATTTTTAATCCATTTTAAATACATAAACTTTTAAAAATAAAATAGAATCTCATAGAAAAAAGTATTGTACACCAAGCGAACGCCGAATAAAGATGTTCATAATGGTGCGCAATATTATTAGTGCTTTATAAATTTAGATGCGTTTTTGAGAAATCGGAAGTAGCGTAAATTACTACTTCCGGTCAATGGAAATTACTCAAAATTTAACAGAAGGTAAAAAATTAGATCTTTTACTTACATGTGAAATTTCATTTATCTATCTGAAATAGTACTCAAGTTATAGGCTTTTGAAAAATTCAAAGTAGGAAAAGTACCACTTCCGGTTATCGGAAATCGCTTTAAAGTTGATACGGATCTACGATTTTGATAAAATACTTATGTATGAAATTTCATCAACCTAGCTGTAACGGTAGTCAAGTTATCGTGTTTACACACGGACAGACAGACAGACACACAGACAGACACACAGACATACGGACAAGATTGCAAAATTATGTTTTTCCGTATCAGTGAGGTGTAAAACGTCGAGATTCGTAAAAATCTCAATTATTTTTTTTTGCACGATTACAAGACTTTCTCTATACTTAGTATATACGAGAAAGTAAAAAGTGAAATGAAAAGGTTTTTTTTTTTGAACAAACAATCTATATATATATAATTATAATTCTCTTCTGGGAGCCGTTAGAAAACAAGCTGCAAGCGCCTCCTAGCAGTCCCCTATCTTTCTCTATATCACTATCACTACCACCCCCACCCACCCCCACATTGTCTGGTGAGCTGTGGTCACGCTAAATGTTTACAAAGCTAAATGTTTACAAAACGTAGAGCCGTAGTGCCGGGTTTCTATTAGGGGCAGATAATTTAGTTCGATTTTAAACTTACAGGAGGTAACTAAGAAATAACTAAGAGGAGGCTGCTTTCACGGGGGGGGGGGTGTAGGGTCGGGGTTTGGGTAAGGGGGGGGGGGTAGTGTTTTAAAGCAAATATTTTCAGTGGCAGCATTGGTACTGTCGAATTCACAAATTATAAATTACTGAAAAGTAGAAAATAAAACAATTAAATAGCGGCGTATGATACGCTGCGGGTCGGCTCGTTGTTTATAAGAAAATACATTATCTGGACAAATCTAACGTCCCTAAGGGTTTTTTTTCGACAGGAATAATGTTTTTTTTTGTTATCCTCCGGGGTCGGTCTACGACCTCACAAAATATTAGGGAGATCGTTCGTCAATTTATTTATAGATATTCTATATAATTAGAATTTCACTCTCGGTCACTTTTTAGCGCGCGTCGAGTGCTTTGAGTCTGGCCAACAGTTTTTTCCATACGGCATAGTCATCTATAGAGGTGCATGCAAAAAATGGCCAGATAAATAGAAGTTGAGTATTCTAAAATTTATGTTAAAATTACACTGTTTTTCCCATAAAATACAAAGATTATATAGGGAAATACGACACGTCAGTTTTGATCCCTTTACGAAGTTTTCCCAGATATGCCGAGTTTTTTTTGACACCCCTAGGTGTTCTCCTACCACCTCACAAAATTTCAAGAGGGGTTGTCGGACTAAAGTTTTTTTTCCGTAATATAGCCCATATAAGTTGCCGGTCAGTCGAGGTTAGTTTTGACCCCTTCTCCGTGAATTTTTCGACCAACCGTCACAGGCCCTCGTGATCTATCGCCCCAAGGCATCATCGTGCCAAATTTGACGCGCCTGCGGCACCGGGAAGTGCCCTTTAGGGCACCTGGACACTTTGCTTTCTATATATAGATTGCTTTAAAATGTTTCCAAAAACAATAATCCTTGATAAACAATTTCATTTAGAATGGAGGGCCCACATGTTGAAATAAACCTTTTTTATTGAGGAGAATTGCGTTAAGGATTTTATTTTACTAGCCATTTCGATCTGTAAACTTCTTAAAAAAACTGACGGTATCCAGGTTTAAAATTGATGTACACAAAAATTGTGACTGAACCGTGGATGTTGCTTAAAATGGTATACAGGTTGCTGATGGTGTAGAGGTTGAAAACACCAGAGTTTAACCAATGAAAAATCTGGTGATACAGGATCCTGACCCAGCCAACCGTAAACCCGGGCTCGCTTGTTCGAACATACAGCACAGCTAGAAGTAAGATCATCTTCACCAGCCGTTTCTCTTACCCAGTTAACAAACCGGAGATATTGGAGTCGTGGTATCAGTAGATAATTTTCTGAGAGCTCTAAAACATTATGACAACACATACTACTATATATATACATATTGTGGTGATGTAATGTGTATGAACGTTGAATACGTGGAACGGGTCACTGCGTGTGTGTATGTAGCTTGTAGTGTGACGCGAGGCCGGGTGTGTTGACGTGTATGTTGTTGTACGGAGTGAACGAGGGTACAAGGGAAGCGACTGGTCGGGTGACAGTGGCTGTGTTGTGAGCGAGAGAAATGTGGTGTGTAGGAATGAATGCGGCGGGCAGTTGAAGGTTGGGCACGAAAGAAGGCAGGTTGATTTGGTGACTGAAGGATAGAGAAATAAAGGACTGTGATATCTAACTGCAATTGTGTTGTGCATTTCTTGGATATTCATCAACCCTCACACACTTGGTGGATCTGCCGGACCCACAATTTGGGAATAGAACAGATCTCCTGTAAGTGACAACTTTTTGAGTTTTGAATTAGTTGAATTATGGAGGAACCAATGAGTTTGGGCAAAAGCAACGGATACGAGGGAGAGAAGTTGGACGAGTGGGTGGAGAAAAGAATGAATGAGAGTGAAGAAAGGAGGGACAGATGGTGCAGGAGGGAAAGAGAAAAGATGGAGACAGAAGCGAGAATAGAGGTGGAAAGAATGAAGGCGGAAGCAGCGATCGAAAAAGAAAAGCAGGAATTCGAACTGGCACGAATGAAGAATGAAGGTATGAAAAACATACCACACATAGACATGAACCATTAAAACATCCTATCAAAGTTGCCGAAATTTCAGGAAGATTCGGAAAACATAGATGCGTACATCAGGAGATTCGAGACAGTGGCGAGGACGACAGGCTTGAGCAATACGCAGTGGGGAACTCAACTCCTTGTCTTAATAGGAGGGAAGGCATTGTATGCTTGTCAGGGCCTGAGTGAGGATCAAATGAAAGACTACAGAACATTAAAGGAAACTCTCCTTGAGTTCTTCTTACATAATGAAGACTCGTATAGGAAAAAGTTTCACAACAGACTTCCATCCAAAGCGGAGGACTTCAAGAACTACGTGTTGGATCTAAAAACCACGTTTATGAAGTGGCTAGAAACGGCTAGAGTGGAGATGAAAGTGGAGAATATAATTGAATTCATGTTGATAGACAAAGTATTAAATTCAGTAGATAAGCAGCTACTAAGTTACATACAGGAAAGGAAGCCCACCACTCTAAAGGAACTCACTGACCACTGCCAAAAGTACATTGTTGCACACACGGATAGACCAATAGCTAACAAAGAATCAGAGTATGAATCAATCTTCTACGCGAAGGCGACAGGCGATACAGCGGAGTATGTTGGTCTAGAGGCAGGAAACTACGGATATGACAATCGTCGGCCAATGAGATATGGAACACAAACCAACGGCACAAGATACGTTGGGAGGTGTTTTAACTGCCAACAACCAGGTCACATGATTAGGAACTGTCCGCATAGAAATTCAAACGTTGGGGTCAGTAACCATGCGGCGGGTCAAGAATACCCCAGAGACACAAACACTCATGCGGCACACAGTTATTACAGCCAACAACATAGACCGCGGAATGACGGTAATCATAACAATGATTACAACAGTAGTCCAGATAAGGAGGGTGTAGAACAAGCACCGTTACTACAGATCACACCGAAAATACCAACGCTAATGGTGAATGTGGGAGCTCATACGGTAGAGGCGGTGAGAGACACGGGTTGCTCTACTATTGCTGTAAAAAGTAGCTATGTTGAACAGCACCAATACACGGGTGAATGGAAAATGGTAGAGGTGTTTGGTGGCACGGTCATACGCCTACCGATAGCACTGATAAATATTAAATCACCGTATGTGACGGGACAAGTCCACGCCTTAGTGTTCGAACGGGGATCATTCGACGTAATCATCGGGAATGATATCGGGAGAGAGACAATACCACAAAACTATCATTCTAATGCAGCGGTAAGGTGATATTTGATCGGGTCACAGGCTGGGACGGAGCACACAACAAGACGGCAGTGAGAAAACACGTATAAGACATTTGTTCTACAATATACATTATGTAGCATGGCGTCCTTCCACAAGTTGTACCGAAGGAGAGAAACATCGACGTCGTATCCAAAGTTAAAAACAAGAACCGGTATCCTTTTGTTAAGTTTCTTTAGTATGTATGTATGTGTACTGTGGTTATTGGTAATTGTTATATACGAGAAATGTAAATGATGATGTTCTTGCAGAGACTGAAGGTGGATTGTACCCAACAAAAGTATGCTACGGGTGGTGTCGAGCCAACGATCGGTTGTCGTTTATGTATGATGTTTAACCCTTCATTTCATGAATTAATTTTGTGAAAGCTTTTTGAGAAAAAAAAATCTTACAAGGTGGGCTGTGGTGTGTAGAGAGCATAAATAATGAGGAAATTGAATTATTTTATCAAATAATGTTTATTTTGCAAAATAACAGTATGTATCAGATTTGATACAGTATGCAATGGTGGGTAAAAATTTGTTAAAATTGACAAAAAAGTATTTTTTACTTATCATTGAAAATTTATTGAGTAATTATTAATTTGAGTAAAACACTTATTCATCCCAAATCTGGAGCATCAGACATTCATTTACAAGGTAGTAATTTACATTTTTTTCACAATATTGCTATTACCAGTTATGTCATATTTCTTAGTAATCATGCATCTTTTTATTGTGTAAGTCAATAAGCAGCATCACTTTGCTCAGCATGACCTCTATCTAGTATAATTTGAAATTGTTTTGTTTTAAATGCAAAGTAGTTTTTAATGACTCAAACTTGTTTATATGAAAGAAATTAGAATATATCTACAATGCTGATATTTGGCCATTATTAGAACTTTTTCCTATGCAATGAAACCAGAGACATGACTGGTAGAAGCCAATGAATTGATTTATTTCTTCTATATCAAAGACTTCAAGCTTTATCTGGATTCCTCTGTGCAATGTAGATCTAGAAAATCCTTTCACCCAGTATACTAAGATAGTCTTTATCCATGGTGTGAAATAAAATAATCTTGAACAGCCGGAAGGCCTTGCACTAAAAACTATGTTGGTCAGTTCCTATTCCTCACAAATAATAGAAAACATTCATGTGTTTTAGTTAACCACTTTGCTGGACTAGCATCTGCTTACATCTTATGAATGTACATCTTATAAATGTAGGCCTACAGCTTATAAATGTATATCAGAATAAAGTCTACCGCTTTACTTGCTCCGAACCAATCCCTTTATTCTCTCTACATCACTTTCTAAGTGTTCAATTTCAGTTACAGTAACACCTTCAACATTAGGTAAATAAATAGATGAATAATTAGACATTAGTGACCAAAGAAATGTGCAGTCTCTATTTCAGACAGAATTCTTTTGTGAGAATCTTTACCCATCCTGTAAAAAAAAAAATTCACTATAAGAAACTATATATTATTTCTAGATTTATTTACTTTATCTTCATGCATGCACAAATTAAATTATAATTTAAATAAAAATAATGTATCACTGCTACTTTTTTATATACTAGAGGATTAGGATTTTATTTGCAAGTTTAAATACTATATGCAAGAATGTCAATCAAATATTATTATGCCATTTTTTTTAAAAACAATTATTGCAAGTGATAAGTTCAATATGTACTATAGGCCTTTTTATTAGATTGTAACTTCATAAGATGAATAATCAAATATTACACCAACTTCACTTTCATTTACATTCTCCTTGAAGTCTACCATCTATTTCATTCAGAACAGTTTTGCGACAAAATTTATCGCTCGCTCTAGACAAAAAGAGATCCTGTAAAAATAAATAAAACAATGTCTGCACCAAACAATCTCTAATCATTCATGAACTTCATGGATTTATAAATTAAGTTTTAATTACTATTATAAACATAAGTAAACCACCACTGCCTATAGTAATTATTACTGTTTGCGTACCGATATGAAGTAAATAATAAGTAGACTAAGTATGTAGGCCTATGCCTAATATTATTACTTATTTTCTATAATAATAATTACTGTACTACTTTCTAAGCTTATTAGACCCAAACACTGTCTCTGTGTATGAATTAGTATGATTAGAGAATTATATGCAAGTTATTCTAAGCAGTAGCTAGTAAATATCAGTCTAATACTATATTATTATTGTTATACATTATGACACTTTTTTTGGTCTTCAATAGCAGCACTACACTGTACACCCTTTATTATAGGCTTATTATAGTAGCACACTGATCATCTGTATGTATATAGTACTGAGTAAGTGCTAAATCTAAGTAAAATTAGTATACAATAGTCTACAGCTTGACTATGTTACTATTGTTACAGATTTTGACACTATTTTTCTTCTATAATTTACATATTATTATTGTAAAAATATGAAAGAAAAACAAACCTAAGCTAGTGTAAGAACCAACAGTTGACTAGAGTCTACCTACTAGATGTTAGGAATTGTTCTATCAACTAATTATTATACTACAGAAAAGTCACTATACAGTAGTCCCAGCAAGTGTCATGGTCATACCGTTGCATGGTGTATCAAAACTGTTACATACCGTAATTGGACATTATCAGCACAAATATAAAGAAATAGTATGCAAACAACTTATTTTTAGGTAAAATTACTCACCTGAGATTGGTGAATATTTTTTTCAAGAAGAAAAACACGGCCTGTGAATTTTTATTATTTTCTCAAAAACACCTCGATCACAGCTGTCCGACCAGTGTAAAAAAACGGAATCAAACTCGAATTGTGTGAGACGAAACACACCTATAGTCTGTTTTGGGTATGAAGTTGGGTCAAAAGTGATCAAGCTAGAGTATGGCATATTAAAAACTCAGATTTTAACATTTGTGTAGATTCAATGGGGGTTATTTCACTTTGTATCAAAATTGATACAACATGAAATGAAGGGTTAAACATATCTCAAATGTTCTATATAGAGCTACTATGTAGCTATTATCTGGAATGTAATATGTTTAAACCCAGGAGAGAATAATATTAGCGAATGTGAAGTGTGGATATCTATTATTTGTTAACATTTGAAGAAAAAGCATATATTTCATAAAAATAAAAACAATTAAATCATTAATTTATTATACATAGTGTTTACATTTTTTTCATAGATTCACACATCAGAGCAGGGGCGGAACTACAGTGCCGCCAGACCCCGCAATGCGGGGGAGCCCACGCCATTTAGGGGCCCATAGCCGACCATAATAATTTTTTTATAGTTAAAAAAACTATTTTCTTGCATTTTTGAATTGACAGTAAAAGCTTTTGTGAATAACAAACATATCTACTTTTGTAGTGGTGTTATGCAGTAGCTGACATTATTATTATGCTGTTGCGTAAAAAAATATATGCCTGAGCTGTACTATGAGAGACAGGCAAACGTTCAAAACACTTCCATGACTTATTACACTTTTTTAAATAGTTAAATAGGGTGCTCATAAGCTTCTTTTAATATATTTGTTCTAAACAAATAAAAAAGCAATTACTTCTCTTTATTATTATTTATCATAAAGTATTTCTAAAATATATACTAAAGAATGACATAAAAAGGAAATATATTTAAAACAAATAATATAAGTACAAAAAAACTTTAAAATAAACATAACACGAGAAACCATTACGCATACAAAGCTTTCACGTTTTATATTCTGTTGACCGTTTACAAACTAGATGATCAGCAGATTACAGCTAACATTGAATAAAGTAGTTCTAAATCTAAAAAAAAAGTTAAAAAAAGACGAGTGCACTCACACACCTGACAAGTATTAATATGTTTCAATTGAAAAACAAAAGACAAATATTTTTTTTAAAACCCGATCCAATGAGTATCCAATGTTTGTATTCTGTATGTATGTATGTATTCTGTATTCTGTATGTTTGTATTCTATATATGTATGTATATATATATATATATATATATATATATATATATATATATATATATATATATATATATATAAATATATATATATATATATATATATATATATATATATATATATATATATATATATATATATATATAAATATATATATATATATATATATATATATATATATATATATATATATATATATATAGGGGGGCCCAGAATTATTTTTGCGGGTTGGCCCTTTATTTCTAGTTACGCCACTGCATCAGAGATTCACATTTGTAAAAGATGGAGATAGCCAACGCTCATCAAGACCAGACCGACGTATCTCCTACAGCAGTTCCACAACGGCAGGCTGTCGTGTCGGACACCACCAATGTCATCCTAGATATCTACGTCATCACCGTCAGTTCTACCATGTTCGCCCTTTTCGGTATCATCACCAACATCATCAACTTAGTCGTCTTCGCCAAGATCGGCTTCAAGATATCCATGAATCTGACGCTGTTCGTCCTCTCTGCAAGTTACTGCCTCACCGGATGCTGCACTATAGCTTACAACGTTTGCCGAATCTCCAGGATTTTCCCCAGCGATTCTATCATAGATTACAAGGTCCCTCAAAGAGGTTTCTCATTCGCTCGCCTCATCTTCACTGACCTGTCTTCTATCATAACGATATATCTCTCTATAGAACGATGTCTTTGTGTCACTTTTCCATTCACTTTTAAAAAAATGTTCACGATGAAACAAACATACATTATATTCGCCTTCATTGTTAAATTCCTACTTGCTAATAACATTCCCTTATTTTGGAACATGTGTACCCAGTTAAAATTTGACGAAGAAAAACAATTTAACAGGTATGTCGTTTGTGAAACAGCTCTTTACTTTGAGCTTGTAAAAGCACATGACATCGTATCCTTGGTGACGATTCCATTCGTCTGCCAAATTGCAGCAGGTTTATGTGTCGTCATCATGTCAAGAGCTCTCAGAAGATCATCGTCTTTTCGCCTCGCCGTGAAAAACGTTGTCATCTAAATCCACATCAGCGAAGGTCGATTCGTTATCGGTGAAAGAGAAACGGCTGGTGGAGATGATTTTAATTCTAGCTGTGCTGTATGTCCCAACAAGCGTACCAGGCTTTACGATTGGCTGGGTCAGGATCATGTACCCCCAGATTTTTCAGTGGTTAAACTCTGGGGTTTTCAATATGTACACCATCAACAACCTGTGTAACATTTTGAGCAACATCCACGGTTCTGTCACAATTTTTGTGTACATCACTTTTAACCCGGGGTACCGTCAGTTTTTAGAAGCTTTTATCTAACCTTGACTTCTTTGTATTTTTTTTCAAGAATTAATAAAAAAATTCCTATATAAAGTACTATTTACCGCGCTTTTATTCGTACATCATTTTTTGTTTATTTTGTGCGCAATTGTTTTAAGTAATGTATCTCTGTTGCAGTAGCGTAGCCAGGATCGTCTCAAGGGAGGGGGGGGGGTCCAATTTTTATCCGGTGACAAACTTTCGATTTGCAACCCCAACCCCCCTCAGACTTTTGATTTGCACCCCCCTCCCCCCGTCAAACTTGATATATATATCGAGGGGTCTATGGGGCGAGTCCCCCCTAACCCCCACTGCCTACGCCACTGCTCTGTTGTATTAAAAACAAAATTAATTTCTTTTTAAATTTTGTTTTACAGTTTAATGCATCATTTTTATACAAATATATAAACATTTTTTTAAAATGCAAAATAAATATCCTGATTTTTTTTTTGTTATTAAAAAAACAAATCACAAAACCTGTTCTTGTCTCTATGCTAAATTAATATTTTAATAATAATTTTAAATTCTTATGTAAAGTACTTTTTACCGCATTTTTATTTTTTATTTCGTTACTTTTTGTTCATTTTGTGCGCAATTGTTTTAAGTAATGTAACTCTATTGTATTTTTTTAAAAAATAAACATTTTTATTTATTTTACAGTTTATGTTAATATTTTTATCCAAATATTTTTACTTTTTTTAAAACTCAAAATTAGTGTCCTGATTTTTCTTGTTAGCCTTAAAATCTTAACAAAACCTGCTCTTCAAAGTTTACTTGTAGTTCGTATGATAGCCTAAACATTGTTTTAAAATTCTATTCCCACGTAATACAACTGTAATTCAAAGTATTTTTACTGTAATGTATTATCAGAAAGTAATTCAATATATCTTTATTGTAATGTTTCTTTAAGAAGGTAATTCAATGTATCTTAACTGTAATGTCTCTATCAGAATGATAGTGTGCTTTTATTCACATGTTCTTTGTTCTCCTCTAATTAAACTTGTAGAACTGGACGATTTTTTCACCCACGTCATCAAACCCTTGGCCCTTCCAGGTCCTTATGATTCGAAAGTAAAATATCTAATTTGAAATAATTCATTACCAAATTTTTTTACAATTTATTTTACAGTTTACAATGCATTTTATTGTAGGAAATAAAAATAAAGCGGCACTGATCTCCCCTAAACTTTCTCGAATATACTTATATAACACTATGGGATGGCAACGAGACCTATTTACGAAGAGACCTACGCTTTTCTATATTTTTAATTTTACTAGCAGTGTATTATTATATATTTAAAGAAAATAATTTATTCTCTCCTTTTTTAGTGCATTTTTACATAAAAATTTGTTATTTTGTTTTTACGCATTTCTTTTAATTACCGCATCAGCCTATTCTGCAATAAACTTCCCCAACTTCGAAATTAAGCTAAGAATGTAATGGAATGTTAGCGGCAGCTGTTGTTTTGGCCAAGTATGAAAAATTGATGTTAAAGTGGAAACCCTTGTGTCAGACAATTTTACAAACAAAATCAACTTCTTCTGTAAATTTAAATAGATTTTCACGCATTGAAAGAAACATCAACAAAACCAATTGTTTTTCTCCTTCTGAAAATGACTTTATTTTTAAAATATAAGTTTTTTTCAGGATTTCCGTGTACTGATATTGATTTCTACTTCTAAAAAGAAATTATTTAACCTATTGTGCTCATAGTAACATGTGAACTCTACTTCGTCAATTTGTAAAGGTAAAAGGTCAATCTCTCATTTTAAAATCGCCAATTTAAAAACGAATGTAAATCATACTTAATTTCTGAAAAGATTTTCAAAATAATAAACAAATCACAACGTGCAGAAAAAAGGTTATAAAATAGCAAACAAATATCAATGTAAAAAGGAAAGCATTGAAAGATACAATCGCAGAGCACCCAATAAGTTTTTGTTTCGTTCGGGCGTTGCGATCTAGACAGACAGACTAACGACTGACGACAGACAGAGGTAGTGAGTTAAATAAAACCTTGTAAAAATACAAGAGAGCAGAGGCATGTAGAGATGTGGTTTGTAAAAAAACAGAAAGGGTAAAATGTGTGTTAAGTAAGGAAATGAAGAAAAACCCAATGTTATATCTAATGTTATAAGCACCATGAAAAATGTTATAACCACATTCAACAATACATAAACTCTATTATACATACTATAACCATCTGCAGCTATAATATAACCACCCTCACACATACTGTAACTACACTCAACAATATTATAACCACCATCACACATACTATAACCACCCTCACATATACTATAACCAACACGACACATACTATAACCACCATCACACATACTATAACCACCCTCACACATACTATAACAAACATCACAGACACTATAAGCACACTCACACATATTATAACAACACTCAACAATATTATAAACACGCTCACCTCAACGCTATTATAACCACAATCACACATATTGTAACCACCATCACATATACTTTAACCACCATCCCACAAAAAATAACCAACATTACACATACTATAACCTCCATCACATTTTATAACAAACCCTCACATAAAGTATAAACACACTTACACGTACTATAACCACCCTCACACATACTATAACCACCATCACACATACTGTAACCAACCTCAACATTATAATAACCACCATTACACATAATATAACCACCAACAGATTCTAT